TTACCCCTTGGCTTCCTATTAGAATATACGGCTTCAATAGCATGTCGATATTTCACTCTTCTCTCCGCACAACCCTTCATTCCTTTCTCTCACCATCCCCTCCATGTCACCCTCCAACGCCCAACTAACTGGTATTTTCTCATTTGGATTCCACTCACCAACCTGGCCTGGTGCATGATGGTCCACAAATCGTCTTCTCAGTATATGTTCAATCCACTCCATCTCCACTCTCTTCTGCATATTTGTTCGGTGACAGCTTCTTGGTTCGTTGGTTGATGTGTTGCCACCCAAACTTCCACCTTGATTATTCGTTCTCGCCTTCCGATCTGATATTCAGTATCGAGTGAGTGAAGAAGGCAGCTGTTGATGAATGTCTTTAGTTTGTTGAAAATGCTTTTCGTAACGCTCCAAGTTTCTGAACCACATAGAAGCACTGACTTACATAACTGAATTAGTGTTGAAAATCCAGATGTTGTTCATGCTTTATGCTGAATGCAGTGCAGTGCTGTAGATCTCCACACTGATTTCAGTTAATGCAGGAAGGCCTGTCTTGTTGTCTTTCCGATCCTAGGTTTCACATCCTCATCCATCGCTGTAGTTGAAAGGATGCTGCTTAGGTGGGTAGTTGAAAGCGGCTACTTTCTTTAGATATGTCCTGTTCATGGTGATTGGTGCTTGCGGTTGTCGCTGTTAGGGTTAGGGTTAGGGTGCTATTTGAGCGACAAGTGCTAGATACTGTCAGTCTTAGTAGTACAACCTAGGCCAGACACTCTCTACCGTCTCTTATAAAGAGCCAAGAGTGGACGTCTGAGACCTAAAGGGCCCTCTTCGTTAGTAGGGGTGCATGGCCTGTTGGGTGTACCGTTTTCATGTATATGTGGATAGTTGGAAGTCGGTCCACTGATCTATGACACTTAGCTGACTTGGGAAACGAGAAAGGACAGCATAGCACAGAGTTTAAGCAGACCATCAATTCAAGTTACATAATCCATATTGTTTATTTTCTGAATGTCTGTGTTTTTTAGTTGTGCATATATTAAAAACGAAGAAAGCGTTAACGCTACTCTCTCTTAAATATCAGTTAGCAGTTTATAATTTCAGCCAATGTATTTTCCTCACAGAATTCAATTCATTCAATAAAAACAGGGTTCATACAAAGTTAAAGTTCAATAGACAATTCATTTGATAGCTATCGTTATCCAATAAGCAATTTTCTGAAGAAAATACATGAGTCTGTAGATGAATTAGTAAGTAGTATTTTTAGGGGAACATTCCCCCTTGAACTACCAAAATCTCATAAGACAGATATACTTCTCAAACCAGTTGTGGATTTCAATACCTCACTCATATGCAATTTAGCAAAATACATTTCAGGAATCCGAAAATAATACGAAAAAGGATTAAAATATACAATAAAGTATTCATCTGAATTCATGAATAAAATCATTTCATCTTACATTGAAGAAGACGAAATAATGCAAGTTTCAGTGTTTGCTTTTAATTTACTAACCTACCTATTAAACAGGCATTAGATACTATTCATAACCTACTGCTGTCAGATACTGATCTAAGTTGATGGTGGTCATTCAATCCAGGAGAAATTCTGACGTCCATGGAACTACCGGAACTACTATGGATCTGTACAGACAGACAGACAGACAGAGAGATGGTATAGCAATGTGATAGATCTCCAGTATCACAAATACCAGCTAAATTATTTATTCATTCGTTAGAGACAAATACAATAAGAAATTGCTCTACACATCTAAGAATTTGGTTAAGGTACTTCTGGAACAGTCTGGATGAACTCTTCTGTCACATAAATAATGTGTATGGAAGTATTACTTTCATCAAGGAAGTTGAATCCAACTGGTCGAAATTAAACTTTGTCGACTGTATAGTGGAAAGACAGGAGTAAAACAAACTAAGAATTGAGATTTTTAGAAAAACAACACATTTTGACAGATACCTCGATTGTCAGCCTGAACATCACGTGACTACTAAAGTAAACATCACGCGGAATCTAACCAACACGCCTAACTGTCACGTTACAACGAAAGAGAATAAAGAAGAAGAGTTAAAGTTAGTTTGTCGCACACTGGAATCAAACAATTATCCCAAGAGTTTCGTTAAAAGTATTTTAAAAAATGAAATTAAGGATGTGTCGAAACTCCCTCTGAAAAAGTAGATAAGCACTGTCATAATCCATACAGTCAGGAGACTTTAGAAGAAGTAAGAAGGATTCTCAACAAACACGACAGAAGGGTTTACGTTTGTGAAACAAATACACTCCGTTCTAACTTATTGAAACTTGAAGATATAGTACCTAGAGAAAATCAACAGAATTGCGTTTATCAAATCAAATGCGGAGATTGTACTGCAGTATATATAGGGGAAAGAGCAAGGCAGGTAAATGTGAGAGTCAAGCAGCATAAACTATGCTTAAAGCAGGTTCCAAAAACCTCACCAGAGGTTAAGAAACTAGAAAACAAATCTGCCATCGTACTACACTCTATAGAAATGGGACACAAAATTGACTTTGACGGACGAATTCAGACAGTTTGAACAGAAGAGATGGAGTACAGTTAGCTGTGTGTCTTGACAATTACGAATTAATAAGCAGAAGGAGTGACTCGCAGCACTTACCGTCAACATCAGTCTCAACTTCATCATTTCTATCTGCATCAACATCAGCAACACAATCTGGATTGATTTGATTCACCATTACTATCATCATTTTCATCATCATCATCATCACCATAATTATCATTACTCATTTCCACTCGTTAGTGCTATTCACCACCATATTCCAACTAAAACTGCATACATATCTGCCTTATCCATTCCCTTGTAGTTATGAAATTGCCAAATGACTTTAATGTCACCAGTGACCCTTTTCCTCTGATATTTACAGTCAAGACGAATATGAATTGGAGTACATATACACATACGCACATATACACACACACACACACGCCACACAACAAGAGATGTACAATTTCACACTGAGTGATTAGTTATGATCAACAGTGACTGGCGGTAGAATCTAGGATGCACATTTCGTCCTACTTGGGACTAGTTAGCTGGATATACCTGCATCCCAGTGAGTAATGTTATTCCCATCGGGATTTGAACTCGGAACCCATAGATTCAAACTCCAGACCGTTATCTACTACACCACCGAGCCACAATAGCCACTTCTTGTGTGACGGGTATAGATTTTAGTGTTATTCCTCTTATTATCATGACTCGGTAGTCTAGTGGATAATGTTCTGGCGTTTGAAACGAGCAGTCCCAAGTTACAATCCCGTGGGAATAACATTACTCACTGGGATGAAGGTACATCCAACTAACAAGTCCCAAATAGGACGAAATGCATATTCTGGATTCCACTGTTAGCCACTACCCATCAGTACTATATTGAAAACACAGGCAATATTGAGGCATCCGCACACAAGCACATATGTCAATGCTGACTGATGAATTCAGTGCAATCAACAATGGGATAATACAAGTAAAGTAATAATACTGAATGATTAGTTAGCATAATTTAGAAAGACAATGACTACACGAAGAGGATTGGACAAGCAGAATAAATCCAGGTTTTTCATTGGATTTATTTACATATATCCTTGATGTTTCGATTTTGATTATTTCCTGAAAGAAGCTCAGACCAGACTTCCATGTGAAACAACATTGAAATTGTTTGATTTCAAACTCGCTGTGACTTACCCAAATACAATCTATGTCTAAATGTCAACCTTTTACTCACAGCCTAATATTAGCCAACTATACGATCATCCGGCGTCCGGATGCCTGACAATGACTGCCTAATTAAGATAGGAGACAGCTGAGGAAAAGTGAAGTGGAGGAAATACTAGTGATGGTAACAGTGATAATGTAACCCTCTCAAAAATACTTTGTTGAGGAATAAGTTAAAATCATTCGAGTATGCGGAAGTAATCTGAACTATGAGCTGAACCGATGGCGACAAACCAGTATTTGCATGTTTGCATAGTTGTCAAAACTCCTAAGATGCTTTGATATTTGGGAGATGGCTCTCTGAAGTCAGTGGAACTGAAGGATCCGTAGGGATTCGATGTCCGTGGTACTTACTACTACAAGCTTATTGCACAGTTCTTCTCTTGACCTGCAATCTTTGAATTTGTTACGGAAGTAGTTGTGGCTGTTTCAACTCCTTGGTGAGAGTGTTATTCATCATGGATTGCTTCATAGTATAGGCGGTATTCCATGGTGTCATCAAGTGAGTAACACAGAAGTCAGGTGTAGAGTTTTAGGGAGAAGAGTTAAGTCAGTTGACACGGTTACGAACCTTCATTTACTGATATGGCTGGCTGAAACATGTGTTACGTATGTCCAGTCACCGTCTGCCTCATAGCACAATGTTGGCCGAAGTAGGTTCATTCTGGAAAAAGGCCCGTGGTAGTCAGACTTGAACATGGTGATAGTGTATGAAGTCTTTGACTGTTGGTCTTAGCCATGTAAGGCGATGCAGACTAGCCGGTTGTAATCCTGGGAAAAGAGAAACAAGTGGTTGGAGACTCTAGGTGATGACTCAGAACCGAAGTCAGGGCGCAGATGTATCCGCACACGCATCACCCTCATGTTAACAATGCTATACGAATCTCACCATTTCCTTATTCTTCCTTTATCTCTTCTCGTACTTTATATTTCTTTCGACTGAATTTTCTCTTCTCCATCTTCCACTTCACTGTCTTTTACTTGATATACTGATATGGGGTGTGGAGGCAACTGGACCGTCACGCAGTACTGCCTGGTCGTCTGTTGATGGGTGATGATGGTGATGATGATGATTACTAATATAATTAAAGGCCTTTAATTAGCATGCATTATTTACCATATACTAAACACAAGGTGAAACTTTGATTGAAGTATTATAACCATGTTATTTTCTGAGTTACTTCATGTAATGAGTTTGCTAATAATGCCTGTCTATTACCTGTATGATATCATTTTAGCCTGGACCATTAACAACACTCAGTCTTCCTGGTTTGTCTTCATCATCAGCCTTTACTAATCTTGCACGAGCTCTTCTTCCTACATCAGTTGCCTACAATACAGGAGATTCACTGAATGTCCTATCTGGTGCTCCTCTATTCACAAGTCCTAGTTTGATGCCAAGTTCAGGTCTTTTTCCTAGTTTACGACCACCTGTTTTCCCTCAACAGCAGCAACAACAACAATCAGTAAACTTACTACAAAATCTTCATATTCCACCGGTTGACCATTCTGGTATTCCTTCTCAGACTAGATTAGGTGGTCCTTCCAATATCGGTAAGTAACCCATCATATTCATGGGATTCTCAAATGATTCAAGTTATTACTCAAAATGTTACTTTTTAAAAGACACTGCAAGCCCTCAGAACTATGAACAGAATTAAGTTTTTGTTCCATTGAAGAATTAATACCCAATAACATTGAAAAAGGGGTGTTTAATTACTCAATAGCTCAGATTACTTTTGCTCAGTAAGGTCTGATTTATACAGCGAAATGTTCAGGAATACCTTCATGGCTCTTTTAAAACACGCTACTTCTATGTCAACACAGATTTTTGTAACCTCAAAAATGATATACCTATTCTCCAGGACTGCAGGATGTAAAAACCGGGAAGATGTAATCGAAATTGAAAGCCTAAGATTCAGAAAATCTCACAAAACGTCTAATATGTGCATAATTCATGAGAAGTAATGAGAAGTAACAAATGAAAATGTAAGTTTTGGCAGGAGGCCAATCAGCGACCTCTGAACTATCAACTCGGTTTTCTACCAGCTCAACTATGAACTTCGGATGGTGACTATATCTTATGTTGAAGCTTAGCTCAGCTTTCGAATGTATGCATGATGCACTGCTGTCTATGTGCAATCATCTCAGTCAAAATCCAGTTTAATAGGAGAGAAGGAACATCGAAACCTTCTTGATTATATCTGCCAGTATAATCCAAGGAACGCGTTTTGTTTCACCCAGGACTCGTCAGCTGGAGGTTTTTGACAAAGGAGTCATTCGTATCCTGAATTGCTTATTTCTCAAGTCTCTTCCCGAGAAAGCAGCGGTTTCTTGTCTGTTGCGGAGACACCTCGCTGTTAACTGCTAGCAAGCGCGAAACTCAAGTTGAATACGGCCTCCAGTCTTCTGACTGTCGCTTTCTTACGCAATCAAATAAATCGAGCATTTGGAAGCTTGTCATGACACAGTGCGACCTCCATCTAATGTCGTCTCTGAGTAACTGTCCACATGTTCGACTTGGTTGACCCCAGTGCTCACGGTTTCTCATTAGAACTTCGGGAATCACTCTCGAAGCAAGTCACCCATGAGCGCTAGGTTACTTCAACTTTGAAGTGTGTGCAGATTTATTCGTCATTGATTTCAAGTTTGTATCTATTAATGGTACTCACTGGTGACTAGCTTTCAGAGTTGATTCCCGAAGTTCTAGTGAGAAGTCGTAACCAGCGATGCCAATCAAGTCGAACATCAGGACAGTTACTCAATGACAACAGCATTGAATGGAGGTCGCTCTGTTTTGTGAATTGAAAGAAATAGGAAATATGGACATTTGCATTCCGATCCAGTGCCTCAATGGTAATTTCTTGCCACGGGACTTGAAGGTGTGTGGTTTGATCAGAGGCGAAATGAGGTCATCGGTGCTTACTGCTGAGGAGTTTTATAATGAGACGAAACGGATGTCTAGTGCTTTCAGGTTTCCAATGTTCTTCCAACTGGTGTCAATTCATGATGAATTCCAAATTGAAAGCAAGCATTTGTTAAAAATCGTAGATCAAACAGAATGGAGAATCTTAAGCTATTCTCAAGCTTACAAATTGTTTGTATGTAGAGAAATTAAAATCTCTGCGAGCTTTTACACAACCACTGAATAAACCAACCGGTTAAAGGTTAGGGTGTTATTTTCAAACATTTTGGGTGTCAGTGAATCGACGAAATGCCTTCCTAGTTAATAACTTAATTTCTCTATGTGATGAGAACAATTTCAGACGAGGCGAGATGATAAGTTTCTGTGAGAATATATGTGACCTAGAATAGTGAAATTATGACGTTTTCCTCTTTTTTTTTATATCGAAGTTTGCACTTATGTGGCTATCAAAGATGTCATGCTGAAAAACTGTAGATTTCTATTTGACCTTGTCTAATCTGCATGACTAACGAGCTCAGTATAATTAATTGTCTAAATATGTGTGCAGAAATTTTATTTTTCGAAATGTTCACAGTTGTACATTACCTTTCCATGCCCATTTTATAGCTTTTTGTCATTATATGTGAATTCAAAATGTGCCATATGGTTAGAAGTGATCAGAAAGAAGTGTAACTTGACCTAGGTTTCGTCAGCAGAGGTCTTTTACAACCTCATGGAGACTAATATTCCCTGAGATATCTGAACCCGCACCACCCAGTGCTAAAGTCCTAGTCATTACCAGTGAGTTATTCAGGATGTATCTACAGTTCATATGAAGTATTCATGACGTCAAAACCATGTACAACGACTACTTTTAGGCGAAACATCAATCATCTTACCAGTAAATTCATTAGTAAGGAGTTAACAGAACGAGACATTTGCTCACTGTATGTTTCAATCAAAGCCTTGAATGAAAACATGAATATCTTTTCCATCTCTTAGAGTGTTACTGAATACGCGACTGCAACTACAGTCCATTTAGTTTGATCGTAATAATTAAGCATTTTGTTTACTTCATATATATTAGTACTGAAATATACTTTAATTCATTTAGGGTTGATTAGTGATTTAACACCAGGAGAAATGTTGACTGATCCATCCTGGCAAGTTGATCAACGTCGAAGAATTGATCTTCAGAGAACACGTTTCCTTTTGAATGAACAAGAAAGAAAACTTTTTGAAGAATTGAAGAATATTCGAAATCGTCGAGCTGGTCTTTCAAGAATAGAACAACTAGGCCGTTCAGGGAATATCACCTCTTCAGGTGTTACACCATTGGAAAGTTATCGTCGAGCTACTGGAAGGATATCAACAAGTGAAGATGCACGAACTAGGGCTCGTAATAGACCTTTGTACGCAATCGGCAGATCCGGATCAGGTCAGTAATTAATTATGATGAAAAAGGTTGATATATGTGTTTTTTTATCCCTGAGTAAATCTGCTTAAACCGTATTACGTCTTCAGTCCAACTTGACAACAGCTGTTAAGTGAATAGATATAATGCTGTGTTAAGCATGAATGTGAAATGAAAATCTGGGCCACGTCAGGAAGCAAACCAGTGAACTCTAGGCTAACAGCTCGGCGCTCTGCCAACTGAGTTACGAGACCCAATCGCTGACATTTCACTCTCTTCTCTACATTCGTCAAATTCTGGCTCCATCACTGCCCACAAGCTTTCATTTATTCCTCACACCATCTTCTCCATGTCACCGCCAACTCAAACGCCCAACTCATCGTTTCTCATTTAGGTTCCACTCGAGTGCCTGGCGCCTGGAGGCCAATTACCTCGATGCCAAAGTGGATAAGGCTTTGAAGTTTGAACTGATGGGTATGAGATTCAAGTCTCAGTGAGGACAATATAACTCCGCACTGTGGTGCAGGTACATCCAGTTGACGAATCCCGAAGAGGACGAAACGCGCATCCTTGATTCCTCTGCTAGCGACAGCCGAGTAAATTACTATATTACTGAAATATTAAATTCCTACTTGTCGAATATTGTGTGAATTCACTACCAGTGAATAGGTAACCAGTGTAACCGTCTAGTTCGGAGTACTCAGTATTGACCCATGTCCATCGATCAGAACATTTCAAAATTATTGATATATCAAATAGTATAGCCTGCCACCTTTTTACATTTTAGCTGATGCTGCCAGAGTACCACTTGGAAGTACTAGTTACTATGGTTATAGTGATGCATACGGATCTGATCTTGGTGAGTTAAATGTTCGTATGATGATTACTTTTAAACACCTAAGGTTCAGAAATCAAATTTCCCTGATTAATTCATAATTTAGAACCAACATATTGGTTCTGAAAACGTTTGTTGATCAACCACACATAGAACTGACATGAATAAATAGATGATACTGACAAAAACGGTATCTTTTTGGAACAAAAACATTGAGGAGGTGTAGTTCATCTGAAACATTTAATGCATTAAACCTACGCTTTCAGAACAATCTGGTCAAACATATAGGAATAATACTTGTTCACTATGGTAGGTTGAAATTCCATTTTAGTCTGTTTATTAGAAATGTCATACAGTCAACGAACAGTGCCATTTACTTGATAATATTTCGGACACAATCTATTGTTCATATTCATGTCAGGTAAACAACTCCACAACTTCCAAACATCCTTTATTATTCTTATTATTTCTCCCTTGAGTTCCTAGTTGAAGATAAGGCCCGAATGGTCTTCTCAGTGTATGCCCAATCTATCTCCATTTTCTTCTGCACATTTGCTGAGTGACAGGTTCTTGCTTCGTTGGTTAGTTCCCAGACTTCCTTGTTGCTTATTCTTATTATTTTGGCCAACTGAGCTTCAGTAACGAGCCAGCGTAAGCGGTTGCTAATGAATGTCTGTAATTTGTTGTAATTCCCTTTCGTAACGCTCCAAGTCTCTCAGCCATACAGAAGCACTGACTTGACCGACATTAATGTTGAAAATCCGGATGTTGTTCACGCTTTATGCTGAGTGCAGAATATCTCCACAGTGATTTCAGGTTAATGAACGCTTTTCTTGTTGTCTATCCGATGCTGATTGGCTTTGACATCCACATCTGTGACTGTCGCCAGAAGTTTAAAAGGTGCTAACTAGATAGTTGAAAGAGGCTACTTCCTTTAGGTTTCTCCCGTTCATAGTGATTGGAGCTTGTTGTTATTGAGTATCTTCATCACCTGTGTCTTCTCTACATTCTCTTAAAGGGAGTCCCGTCTTCCCTGCCCTGCCCTGACTCTTATGTCAACTTTTTAGTTTTCGCCTGCTGATCTCCGAGTTTGTGCGACATTAGACATAAGTGATCATCGGCGAAATCTAAATCTTCTAGGATCTTTTTCCCGGTCAAGTCAGCGTATCCCCCTCTTCTCACTCCTCACATTTTGTTGCATGATCCAGTCTACCACAATTACGAAGATCATCGGTGATAGTAGACAGCCTTGTCTCACTCCTGTCTTCACTTCGAAGGCATAACTGAGCTTCCCATTGTGAATTACTTGGCATATGGCGTCTTCATATAGTTGCTGAATGAGGTTGATAAAGATTTGTTGTATTCCGAAGTGTTGAAGCAGCTGCCTGCCAAATTACTTCTCGGTCGACGGGAAATCATTTACACAGTCTTAAATTCCTCTCCTTCTTTGTAATGATGAGGGTAGTAGAATTTTCCATATATCCGGGATAGACGTAGAATCATTTCTATTACTGCATGTAATTGGTGTTGATTACACATCCAACTAAGTTAGTTGTGAATACTGTCGCTCTATCCCACCCTACTGTGTAATTGTATGCAATTGCATGCAAAGCTATAGCAGAGTTCTTTTCTAAATTTCTTATCTTACTAGGATCTACTAATCTTGATTTGTGTTGGAATTCATCATGAACTGACACTAGTTAGAGGAACACTGGAAACCTAGGGGCACTGGACAGCTGTTTCGAAAATTAAGTTTCAATATATATAAACAAACTGAAGGTGTTGCCATGGGACATATTTATGGATGGTTGGGAACGGATGGTCCTTCACACATTTAGTCCTACTCCAAAGATATGGTCCCAATATGTAGATGATACGTTTACAGTACTGAAATCAGAACATATCAACATGTTCTTGACACAGATAAATTCAGTAATGAATGCAATTCAATTTCCCTATGACTTCCAAAGTGATGAAGGTGAGCTAGCAGTGTCTGATTGCAAGAGTAAACGAACACAAGACGGAAGCCTAGAGACTAGTGTCTGTAGGAAACCTTCCCATTTGAATCGCTACTTAGACTTCAAATTGTTTCATCCTATCTCAGTTAAAGTCGGCTCAGTTAAATGCCTAAGTGATATGGCGGAAAAGCTTACACGCAATACTGAAGATCAGATGCCCAAAGAGAATAAGCAACAAGGAACTCTGGCCTGGTAAAGAACCATCCAAGAACTTATCACCCAACAAGTATGCAGAAGAAAGTGGAGACGGATTGCATTGAATATACACTGAGAAGACGGTTTGAAGATTTCATGCATCAGGCCAGGTCGTCACGTGGAACCCAAATGGGAAACAAGTTAGTTGGCCGTTGGAGGGTGACATGAAGGAGATGGTGTGAGGAAGAAATGAAAGGTTATGGACAGTGGTACAGCCAGGTTAGGACGACTAGAGAGAGGAGAGTGGAATGGCACAGTGCAACCAATCCTTATGTTCCACTACGAACCTGAGTGACAAATAATAAAATGACCAGAAAACCTACGACAAGAAATTAGACACATCAAGAATACCTTGCGTCTCAATGATTACTCACCTTGATTCAGTAATAAATTCATAAGAAATCGGAAGAAGAAGAATAGTAGTAGTAGTAGTAGTAATGCACGTGTTATGAATATTAATTGTACTACTAATGGTAATAATGGTGACGGAGTTGAGGCAGAATTCAAAGCCTTTTCTGTGTTATCATACAAGGAAGGCCCCTCAGAAGTATTATGAAGAATTCTCAATCAGATTGTCTGTAATTAAAGTGGCATTTAAACCAACAAACTCGTTTAGAAATAAGCTTTGTAGGTTAAAAGATCCTACTGATGCAATTAAGCAAAATAATCCAGTTTACCATATCCTTTGCAAAGATTCTGGGGTCAAATACACAGGTCAGTCAAAGTAGTCGACTAGGGTCGATTAGAATAACACAGCACAAAAGCCCAGCTAAATCAAGATAAGCTGGTGGTAATAAGACAAGAAACTTAGGGAAAAAGCTTGGCTATAGCTGTGCATGCAATTACACATAATTACATAGCAGGGTGGGATAGAGCGACAGCTTTAAAAACTAACTTTGGTGGTTAGAGGGAGAGACTGATAACCGACTGAATCTTTGTCTATCGAATCAACATCGAATACCTGTTGGAGAAATGATTCCGCACTTGTCCCAGATATGTCTTCAAGAAGAAGTTGAGGAAATTAAGCCTATGTAAAGGATGTCTCAAAGTTGTGAAATTGTTTACCTGATATGAATATGGAGAATAAATTGTGTCCGAAAAGTACTTTATCCATCAAATGATACTGTTCCTTCACTGTGTGATATTTCTATTAAACAGACTAAAGTGGAAGGTGGTCAAACCTTTTCTCTTCATGTTCATTTACAAAGGGTTAATGGGTAGCCGGGCACAAAACAACATCATCAAATTATCATTATTTCAAGGTAGTATTCATCATGAAGTGATATTGTTTGGAGGGATATTAAAAAACTGGAGGCAGTTCACACGTGATCGTCCCGGTATAAGACTCCTCAGCAGTTCGCAGCTTCGACCCCAACATGAACCGAATTCACCATTTTTAGGTTTCCGAGTTTACCTACTGAGTCGAACTTCAGATATCTACAACCTCTAACTTCTGTCAGTTCTCCATTTTTAGCCCGACTGTCTACCAAGATGATCAGTTTGGATCCAGTTCTCCTCAAACTAATTCACACCACAAGTTGAGGCTTCTTACTAGAATTTCAAAACATATATCTCCAAGCATGTCACTAATGAGGACTATACAGTACTTCGGCTTGAGGCTGAGTGGTTATCACGTTCATCATGAGACCGGAAGGTCCTGAGATCAAACCCTAGAGGGACCGGGTCACGATTGTATACTCCTGACGTGTCCCGTACTAGGACGAAACAGGTTTCCAGTGCTCTAAATTGTCTAAGTGGTTCTTCAAAGGATTTCAGTTTATGATGAATACTATTTTGAGATGAATAAAATCTCCACTAACCTCAAAATAAATTAAAATATCATCAGACAACAATTATCCCCAGAAAATAATTAATTACAATATAAATTATGCTAAAGGAAAAGTCATTGTTCAACCATTTCCAAAGAAAGGTGTTTATATCATACTGCGGTCCACAGAATTTGACATCTAATCAAACAACTAGGGCAACCACCCGAAGAACGTAGTATGCAGCAAAGCTCAACAGCATGGGGAAAAAGAAATTTATATGCCACTGTAAACCCTTTGAGCATTTGAACGATGTGGTCATATCCACTTGCGCATACCAATTTACATGTACGTGTTATCATACACACATAGGTAGAACACGTCGATCTGTGGTCCATCTATTCATCCAGATCAACCTAGGATCAGGCATTACTGCGTAACGGTCCGAGTTGCCACAGCTCATATCAGTACATCAAGTAAAAAGGCAGTGAGGCGCAAGATGAAGACAAGAAAATTCAGTCAAAAGAAATATAAAGTAGGAGAAGAAAGAAACGAGGAATGAGAAAATGGTTAGGTTCGGTATAGCGTCGTTAACATGAGGATAATGTGTGTACGGATACATCTGCGCCACTGACATCAATTCTTAGCAATATCACCTAGCGTCTCCAAACTATGGTAGCATGAACCGCGGGGTACATTCCAAAATGGCTGCAACAACAAATCAAACAGAACGATCCTATTATCCCTGACAGCAGATGTTCAATGTCGTCTATAGTCAAACCCATCATTGAAATGGGTCACAAGGTTGATGTATATACATATTTCAAACTTATTTACAAAACCACTTGGTAACATATGCCTAGGTTTATCGAAGCTCTAGGTGTAACGAAGTTTATGCATCTTTTTTGTATTGAAAAACAATTTCTTGTTACATTAAACCTACCTTAGTAACTCAGCTTTAATTATACACTGGTTTAAACTTTTAAATACCAGGAGAGCATATAGTCTCAACCTGTGGTGCAACCTTATGGATGCCGTCACCTCG